AATCAAATAAAATATTGTTGTATTGTATATACACGTATGTGCCATCCCAAAAAAAAAAAAGAAGGAGGGAAAAGGAGTGAAGCGCAATAAGTCATCAACACGCTTATTGTGATTTTCCGCTTTTCGTTTTTTGATTTGCGGAGATGTTGATGAATGAAGTGTATTTGGGGAGAGCAAATGCTGTGGCACATAAATATTCATGCCACAAGTGCACCTACATATGTATGTATCTATGTATATATAATATGTAGTGGGCATGTATGTACCTATATGTATATATATATGTATATATACCCAGTGGAGAAGGAATGTTGGGTTTGGCTAGAAAACTACTTCCTCTTGCGTCTTCTTCGTGAGAGAAGTAACATTTTCAACAGACACATTGTCCCACTTGGTATCAGCTTCCTACCAGTTAAATACTAGTTCATTTATGCATGCTAAATTTTTACTTTGCAGAAATGACAACGAAAACATTTGGCTACAGTGAGACTCGAGCCGTCAATCTATCGTATGCCATTCCGCCCGCATTACAGCAATATAATCGAATTCCTCGGCCATCAAATATCAACAACAAACTGTGCATATTAGCTTAGCATATCGTCTTTAAAGTACTAGTATTTAACTGGCATTCTTGCGTACTAGTTTGGTTTTTACCGCAGGGTATTACACACACATATGCACATATGTAAATATAAAATAAATCATACATTAATAAATAAAATTCAAATCAGAATTTTTCGCGTGATTGCAATTTAAGCACACAAAAATTGTTATTGTTTTTACAACAACAAAAAATCAAAGTGTGTTTATTGGTCGAGTTTTAGTGACCTTTTACATGATTTTTCTTTAAAAATTAATATTTGATTAACTTAGATTTAAGTGAAATGGAAATTTTCTGTAAAAAATTTTAGGAATCATAATTTTAAATGCCAAGAACTTTAATTTTTAAACATTAATATTTATTTGTCATCACAAATATTTATGCACAGAATATAAAAATAAATGCTAATAAAATTAATATTTTTTAAATTGGTAAATCAAGTTCAGCTTTTAATCTGGTTTTTTCATAATTTCATTGACCGACTTCGAGTCCGTCGAAAATGCTTGAAGCTAATATCTTTTTAAAGGTATTTTTTGAGATAGTAAGCATCCAATCAGCTCATAGCTGAAGAACTGCTCTTCAATTTCTTCTTCTGATTTTTTGGGGTTGTGTCTTTTGGCCTAAAAAACAGCTCTTGAATTGTGTGTTAGATGATACGCCTTCACAGTATTCAAGAACTTAGACTACTACACCAAAAGTCTGCTCTAAAATGTGTTTGAGTCTAAGTCTCAGTTTCCAGTTTCATAATGTACATCCTATTGAAGACATCTAAAATTTAAAGACATTTTTGGACATATCTTTTGCATTGAGGTGTTATTTACCCAGCTAACTCTTTAACCCCTCATTAGGCGGATTTGAACAAGGTTTAGCTAGAAGCCTACATGTCATAAGCTGAGAGAACGTTGATGGTTTCACAGAAACATTTTTGGAGAAAGCATCGAAAATTATTATAAATCGCCGAAATTTAAATACTGTCGCGCTATGTACTCTGTAGACTTATTGTAACCAAAGTAAAAGACTTCAAGCTTTAGCTGCTTAAAAATAATTATAATTTAATTATGATTTATGATTTTCATTTTTAAGGTGACAGATCACATACTTTCAAAGCCTACCATTTCTTAGTTCCACATAAAATCATGCTATACCCTGACTTACCCTTTTATAATTAATTTTCTCTAAAATTTCTTTGTATTCCGTACTAAAGTGTGATCATGACGTGGTAAAAAGTAGTGAGTTTCGTTTGTTTTACTATCAAAACGATTTAGAACTCACAGTTTAGCACCGATTTTTTCTTACCTTATCGACTTAACTCGGAGATCGGTGTAAACTAGATGTGCCGCTGCCGATGCGAAATTTTTATAGGAAGAATTCATCAATATGGACAGAGCCTCATCGAATGCGCTCTATAATCTCTTACTACCGTCATTCTGTAAAGTAGTGAAAGTATTAACGCATTCCGAACAGAAGGTCCGTACGCCGGGTAACTTAATGAAATCAAAAACCGTTAATGAGCCTGCATTTATTTGTGATTAACTCATTTCATTCTTTAAATGATCCCATGATGTAATAGCCCAGTACTGTCGAGGCATTGGAAAGTGTTCTAAGAAGGATTTTAAAAGTATTTACAGGGTAAACCATTTTGCGGTTTCGAAAGCAAACTTTAATGAAACGCATCCGAAAAAAAATTATTTTTTATTACAAATTTTAAACAATGGCTTTATATGCATGTGAGACACTAACCGCCGCTTATGCGATTACAGCCGAATCAATATTAGCGCACCTTTTACCAAGGCCAATTCACTCTCCACCTGATCCTTCCAATGCAGTGGAGGTCTTCCTGTTCCTCTGCTTCCAGCAGCGGGTATTGCATCGAATACTTTCAAAGCTAAAGTACTTTCATCCAATAGGACGGCAGGAATTAGCCAGTCTGGGGAAAACAGAACTAACGGTACGATTATTGAGGCCAATAGTGCCAATATCATCGGCATACGCCAGCAGCTATACACATTTATAAAAGATTTTACCTTCTCTATTCAGCTCTATAGCTCTTATAATTCTCCCCAGCATCACACTGAAGAAATCGTACCAAACGGCTTGAAGAGGTCCTTCCCAATTCTGACTGCCCCTCTGGTGTTGTCTAGCGTCAGCTTACACAGCCGTATAAGTTTTGCGGGATACCAAATTCAGACATACCAGCGTAAAGGCAGCTCCGATTCGTGCTGTCGAAAGCGACTTAAAAAAAATCGACGAAGAGGTGGTGGGTGTAGATGCTCTTTTCTCGGGTCTGTTCCAAGAATATCAGGTCAATGACTGACTTACCAGGCCTGAGGCCACACTGATAAGGTCCAATAAGTTTGTTGACGGTGGGCTTCACACACGAAACGCTCGACAAGACCTTATAGGCGATATTAAGGAAGCTTATCCCACGGTAGTTGACTGTGGGATCGCCTTTTTTGTGGATGAGGCAGAGCACATTTATTTTCCAATCGTCGGGCATGCGACTATTTTAATCAGTTCCCAAAAAGATTCAAAGTTATCAAATCGCGCGATATCGCTGGTCCATTGATATCGCCAAAACAAAAAAATTACGCGACCGGAAAATTTCTCTCATTATAAAGCCATATTCGTTAGTGTGGGGTGTCTTGCGGCAAGATCATATATTCTCCAATCGCAGGCTAGAAAAAAATCGGTTATCATAAATATGGTCGTTGACGTTATCATAGAAGTGAGGTCCAATCACATCTCTGGACCAGCGATCGCACCAGACAGTAAGTTTTTTGAGTTTAATGTACTCTTTTCAATTATTTGAATATACCCGGAACCCCAAATGCGATAATTTTGCTTATCTCCGTATTCACCTTAACGGTGAAGAAAATTTTGTTCGAAAATACGCTGTCCACTGTTGGTTGTTCAAGCGCCTAATCGACGTATGTACGGCGTTCCGAATGGTCTGCTGTCTTCAGTTGTTATGTGAGTTGGACTTTCGATGGATGAAGGTGCAAGTCCAAGTGCCAAAAATGCTCTAATGTGCCATGGACGAGAAATAGGCACATTCGGGCCTTCGGTTACACTTTCAGTAACGAAGTGGAACGAGATAAACGATGATACGCAGTCCAAACCATATGCGTAACCGATGCAGTGTCTTCAAATTTTTTAAAAATTTTTCCTATTGCTTGAGTAGTTGAACGTTGGAATCACCATTTTTCTAGTAAGTTTTAGTAATTTTCGTGTGTTGAGCGATCCGTTTTCTTAAATGTCTGTCTTTTAACTAAATCAAAACATGTTTGATTTGACAGCTAACTTTGACAGATGTCAAAATATAGCCCTGTACTGTTGAAATCACGAATCTTATAGCACCTTGCTTCACCAAAATGTTACTAAGGAATGTTCAGATTGAACAGAATCTTTAATGTGTCATCACACTCGATTATTTAAGGATATCGAGAGAATCAGAAGAAGAAGAAGAATCTGAAATCTAAAAACCGATTCCAATACAAAAGTAATTTATAGACCACAATTAAAGTTTATCACGCGTAAACAACGCAAAGAACACCTGCATAAAATAGAGAAAAGAAATCGCTGACAAAAGCTTCCGCAATTAGGTGGCAATTAAAAAAAAAAATACGACAAAAAATTCTTTATTATGCCTTTCCGATGAGAAACAACAACAAGTACTTTGCAAACGCTTAGCAGAGCCATAAAAATCATCAACGCCTCAGTCGCAACAATGAAAAGCTGCCGAACTCAAAACTCCGCCACTCAGCACAACTCAGCCACTGGGGAAACCAAAAGGAAGAGACGCAAAAGAGTTGTAAGCGCAAACAGTTTTATGGCGAGAGGCAGCGAACTCTAAAAGCAACACCAAAAGTGACAATGTGACAAAACAATAATAAAAAGCAAAAACAAACAAAAATTTAAAGCAAAAAAACTTTAGAAGAAAACTAAAAATTAGTAAAATCAATTGAAGAAAGTCAACAAGATCACATCAACACCCCTTCCCTAGGCACATGCAACACACCACAAACAACAAACACTTGCCACAACTACATATACAACACGAGCTGCGGCATGTTCTTCACTTCCTCTGCTGCATTCACTACTTTAAGTGTCGTTGCTCGCCTAGGTGTGGGTGTGCATTACGCAGAATAGCTCCTTCTCATTGTTGTTGCCATTGTAGTGAATGGGATTTTAAAAATTCATATTCTTGTAATCATAAATTAATTTCATGGCTCATAAAAAATGGAGCCCCTCAGCTACCGCGGAACTATGTACTTACTCGTTAGTTGTTATTGTTTGTTGTTTGTGGTTTCGATTTTACGGTCGCGACATTTTATTTGTTATTTTGTCGAGGTTTTATTTTTATAGTCGTCAATCAGTTGTCAAAAGTGTGTTTGAGGGATTTTTTTCAGTTTAGGATTTTTATGCTTTTTCGTCTTTTACTTCAGTACAAACATTTTGTTTTTAATTTAATTTATTTGTAAGTGAGCTGCTCAGCTGCCACAGGCGCATGAAATGGCCTTTTGGGCTGTAAATTTTTGTATGAGCAGCTTATTAAATCACGCAATTTCGGTATGTGAAAAATGAAGTAAATTTGTTGTAGTAAAATTCAGAAGCAGCTCGTCTGCAACTGTGCTTTTCCGATTAAGGAGAATGGAAAATTATAGAGTGCATATTAACTTCATGGGGTTTAAATAATAAATAATGACAAAAGCATCAAAAATATTGGGTATACAAATTAATTCGTTTCTTCGAAAAAGATTTTTCCACATTCCAGCCCTGACCGATCTTGGAAGCGATTATCTAAGGAAAGCTTTCGCATCTGTTTACAGCGGCTGTTTCTGGTAACAACATTGTTTTTTGCATCTTCGGAAATTTTCCGGCATTTGAGTGAAGTTCTAATTTTCTGTTTTAATTTGAAAAAAAAATTAAAAAGAATTCCAGCTGAAGCCCATCGAATGCTTGTAGAATCTTGTGTTGAATCTGGGCCGACCAATAAGTCTACTCTTGAAAATTGCTGATTCTAGCGTCGAAGTTAAAGAGAATCCTGACCAACCCAAAAAATTAGAATATAAGAAATTGGAAATTGAAATATTGGTTTAATCAAAATAAGAGAAATAAAGACCAGAGAGCATAAGTCCCAGGATATTTTCTTTTTTAATAACAATTAGAGAAATTTAGAAATATTTGGAAAGAAAAGACTATGTCTGGCAGGAGAATATACTATTGGGTTGCCCAAACAGTAATTGCGGATTTTTTAAAAGAAAGTAAATGCATTTTTAATAAAACTTAGAATGAACTTTAATCAAATATATAATTGCCATTTTGTTCGATAACCTTTTGCCATCTTCCTGGCAAATTTAGTATTCCACGCTCATAGNGCAAGCTAAAAGTAACAGCTGATAACTGACAGAAGAAAGAATGCAATTACAGAGTCACAAGCCGTTGAAAAAATTTGTCAACGCCGACTATATGAAAAATCCGCAATTACTTTTTTTGCAACCCAATAATTGTGGTTCCATTTGACATATAAAAGCGTAATTTGTCACTTTTCTACTATGTATGTCAGAGCTAAAACAAGGAGATTATCTTTTCTAATCAATATTTTGATGAAGAGACCAAATGCGAAATTGAGTTTTCGTATTCTTTATGTACCAAAAAGCTTAAATATTTATGTACTTGAAAAATTAAATTAATGCTAAAAAGTAATTATGCCAAGCCTGCTTGGCCGTTAGAAAAAAAAAATCGTTGCACTCCTACAACTTGCAATACTTTTTAACCGGTTCTCAGCTAAATACTTGTTCATTATGACTAATTTATGGCTGGGTTAGATGATCTTAGATACTAAGAGCTGAAGAAGGTAGCACATGGTCTGTGCAGACTAAAAATAAAGAGGCTGACATATGCGATGAGCTGTTGATAAGCCATGAAAAGATACGGCCACTTAGAGATGGTTTCAAGAACGGAGTATACGTATGTGAAAGCCAAGACGGTAATCTTTTCGACAATGTCCAGAGCATACTTAGTTTACAGAGGAAACTGAGCCTGCTGAATGGCATCGCAGGCGAAGCCTAAACCTTAATCAATGATGATGGAAAAGTCATTCCAATACCTCACCTGGTCACTTAAAACTGATAAGGGGTATGTATCAATTTCCCTGCAGAACATATGGTCCGATGAAAGCAAGCCCGAGAATTGAAATATACTATGCCCTGCCCAATACGCAAAAAAAAGAGAATTCCGCGATCAATACCATTCTATCCATAATTGTACAGTCCTTCACCATGCGTTAAGTCTTGGAAAAGAAAAATTGGCACGGACTCCACCAAGGTCTTCGATATCAACCGAGGTTTCAGACAGAGTAATCTTTATCGTGAGATTTCTTCAAAGAGGGAAATGGTTCTTGAAGTGAACGAGAGCAAGACGAAATATCTCTTGTATTCAAACAAACCATCGGCGCCTTCTCGGCTCGACTGCCATGTCATTGTTGACACAGTCATAACTGTGATATCGTAAATCCCTTCGTCTATCTTGAACCAGCACTAATATCAACAACAATGCCAGTTTGAAATACACTGATAGAACTCTCTTCTGAATTTGGGCTACTTTGAAATTTGGACAGTAACCAAACTCTACAACTCTTATTATTCCGGCCCTGCTATATTTCTGCACAATGACTGCGTGGACGATGACAATATCAGATGAGTCTGCATTAGGAGTTTTCGCGAGAGAGAAAGAAAGAGGGGAGAGAGAGAAAGAGAAAGAAAGAGGGAGAGAGAAAGACACGAAGAAAGACGGCCACTTGCACTGAAGGATAAGAACAAGTAGGTGATTGCTAAGCCTATAGTGGCATGCTAGTGTTGATTCGAAAATAATCAAGTAAGCGCTGCCCATCCGTTTCGAGCAAATATTTTCTACAATGGATCAATGGGAGACGCATCGGTAACAGCTTAAACACTCTCCCAACTTTTGGTTTCATTCAGAGTTCATTTAATTTTTCCTACATTTAGTAATAATTTAAAAATAGATTGGTCTTAGAAATATCGTGAATAGATTGAACTTGATAAGGTCTAACAATAGTTCGTACGTATCTTTTTTCCGGATCAGTGCATGTATTACTACTCGGCTAGGAAAAAGGAATGGCTCCGGTACAGGCATCGCCGTCAGCCATCAGCTTACTTAGGTTTTAATAAGTTCATTGTGACACTAGGTGACCTTTCCATATTAACCTTTGACTTTCTAAGAAGTCTCAGTGGGCTCCTTACCTCTCCGTTCACCACCTGACTTGAATAGCGACTCCCAAGCTTATTTCATAAGAGAACAATTCCCACTCCTACCGTTAATAACAGTTCTAAGGCAACTTAGCAAAGGAAAACCTAGCTTATCTTCTTACTTTTGGACTAAGGATCATTATAATCTCAAATATATATATTCTGCCTTGTCTTTTTAATTTAGTTTTCTAATCTCACCGACCGCAGTAGCCGACCGTGGTTGGAAAGACATCAAGACACACAAATTGTAAAGGACATTTTTTAGACGGTATGGAATTGACAGACTGAGTAAGGAATCGAAGCGTAAGGGCTTGGTAGTAAATGAAGACTAGACGAAATATTTCCTGTCATCAAACAAACAGTCTTCGCATTCGCGCATTCTCGGCTCCCATGTCTGTGTTGACAGTCATGACATTGGACTTTTCGATAATTCCGCCTATCTTGGAATCAACATTAACAACAACAACAATGTCAGCCTTGAAATCTAATACAAAGTCACTCTTGCCAACAGGTATCTAGTTGAGACTCAGTAGGCAATTGAAAAATAAAGTCTTCTTTCTCTTTCTTTCTCCCTCTTTGTGTCCATGCAGTACCTGTTGGTGGATGCCCAGGAATAGAAAAAGCTCCACTCCGTTTCAAGGATCAAACGAAAAAAAAAAGCAGAAGATATATGTGTGTCCATATACTAGACGATTAACAAAAGTTCGTTAAGTTGACCAGAAAAAAGAAATAGAAATTCTTTTTTGTATCTGGTTGTAATCTTTGTCCTTTTTTATCTTCTCTACATGATCGCTATTGATTTCAATGCATTTCTTAAGTCTTTAGATCCACTTCTGAAAATAGTCTTCAACACCGGGCTTTTTAGACTTATCAAGGTCGGCATTAACCGCATTAATTATCACCTCCTTACTTTAGAGACCTTTCCTTTAAATTTTTTTTAATTTTTGGAAATAATCAGAAATTACAAGGTGCTATATTCGGGTACTATGGTGATGGTCGTATATCTTCGATCACAGAGATTGCAATAAAATTACTCGTATTTTCAGCAGTGTGGGATTGTTCTTTCTTTTTTCCGACAAATTTTTGAAACTTTTGGCAAGCCCTCTTCGGTGTACCATTTTGCAGTTACTGTCTGACTCTTTATTTAGATTTGATTTTAGATCGGGTGAACTAAACTGACATCATTGCTTTGCTGCTGATTTTTGTTGCTAAGATTTTACGGATGGGTTTGCTCCTGTTGGGCTCCATACCATGGACTGCTGTTTGGTTTCTGGATAGTACTTATAGTACTAAGATTTGTCATGAGTAATGACCTTACTAAAGTAGCAAAACTGACAACTTTCGAATTTGTTTAGAAAAAATTGAGCAAAATGCACTCGACCCTCTTTTTGGGCCTCATTTAAAATTCGTGGTACCCATCGAGCAGATTTCTTCGCCTATCCCCGATGATTACTTAAAATTCGCGATACAGCCATGGTATTCAAGCCTACTTCATCAGCAATCATTTCTTGTGTCAATCGTGGGTCTTTCGCCAATTTTGGACTTCACCAGAGCTACAGCGGCGTCATCTGGGGACGATTTTGGTCGATCTCTCGGGGCTCGTCCTTTACGGAAAAGTGTCCAGTTTGAAATCTTCGGAGTTTGGCATTCACTGGCTATATGTGCTGGCTGTAAATTGCGCCGAAACCCGAAATGAATCACATGTCGAATTTCGTTTGTATTTTCTCGTCGCCATTTTAGCCGATCGTTCTAAAATTTAAAAGGAAGACTAATAAAGTAATTGTAAATGGTTTATTTTTTTTTTTAATTTAACCAAAAAAAATTGAAAGTCATCAACTGACCGAACTTTTCTTAAGCCCCTCGTATATATTTGTAAATAACTAAGTAAGATATCAGTGTTCGGCTGATTTTTTGTATATTTCGTTTGGTGGTCCATTGACTTTCATAAAGCAATAAAAAACATTTAATTAATTATATCTTATTTTTCATTTCAAAAATATTTTACATAAAGAAATTAATCCATATGTATGTATTATATAAAGAGAAAGACACTTTAAGAAAATTTTAAACAAATGTTTGTATATACATATGTACATATAAACACTAAATCTGTGGCGGTCATAAAAACAAATTTCCGAAAATATTTTTTAAATGTCTCACTGGCAAATCAGAAACGAAAAAATGTGCACGCTTGAGTGAAGATAAATTGGCTGAGATTTTTTTGAGAAATAATTGAACGTAAAAAATTCTCAAGCAAAGTGAATGAGAGCTGCTGGAGCGTGCTATTATGTTTGAGGTCTCTCGAAAGAAAGAAAGCTTCTATGTAAATGTATAAGTACATGTGTATGTAAATATGTAGGTGCATACATATATACGTATACAAATTTGCGTAAGCAACTCACATCGTTTTGCATTATTCCTCTTAATATCAACTGCCATTAAAACATATTTAACACATTTTGCAATTTCGCGTTGACTTTGATTGTCGAATTAATCGCTCAAATGTGCCACCAGATGGAGGCCCGAGCACATACAAATACACATTTGTTCATACATAACTCAGGAGCCTCAACGACTCGCCTCTGTATAAATTTGAAATTAAATTGCGCGCATAGTAAAAGATGAGCAGAAGGAGACACTAAAGAGGGCGAGGAATATCGGTGAGCTTCGTCAGATTTTTGTCGCCACTAAAATTACATTAAGTGTTGTTGTTATTGTTGTGTCAAATTTCATTGTCTCTTTATTGGTTTTTATTATTTGGAAAATTTTTTTTTTGATTAGTATGTTTGTATGTAAATAAATTTAATTCATAATTTGTTATATCTTTATGTCTTTACATACAAAAATATTTAATTGGCGACCACCAATAACGAGA